GATCTGTTTTCTCTTCAACTTCAAGTTTGGATTCTGGTAAAGGATCTGTTTTCTCTTTAACTTCAAGTTTGGATTCTGGTAAAGGATCTGTTTTCTCTTCAACTTCAAGTTTGGATTCTGGTAAAGGATCTGTTTTCTCTTTAACTTCAAGTTTGGATTCTGGTAAAGGATCTGTTTTCTCTTTAACTTCAAGTTTGGATTCTGGTAAAGGATCTGTTTTCTCTTCAACTTCAAGTTTGGATTCTGTAACTTCTAAAATTTTAAGTTTTTCCTTCAATTTTATTGTGTTATCTTCACAGTGGATACATGTTGATTTTTGTCTGCGATTAATCAATTCTTTTATCAGTTGACTATGGGGTTTCTTGTCTTGGTATAATTCTATTAATTTCGTTTTTACGTCATCCCAATTATCAAAATCGTACAAAGAAATTCGAATCTTGGCATTACCAGTGATTCTGGAGTAGATGAATCTGAAGAGTGGATACTTATTCTCTTCAGAGGACAATTCGATAGCATTATCACAATCAGAGATAAATGCATTAAGTTGGTTCCTTTCTCCGGAAAAGAAATTAGGAATTAGACTACACAAGAAATCAAGGGGTATTTGGGATGGGTTGAAAACAGGTTGATCAAGTTTAGGCATTGTTCACAAAATGAGTTACCTATTACTACTACTTACAATATAAAGAAATTCTGATAAAGAGTTAAAACCCACCAACATGAAACGAATTACTTAAGAATTCTCCGGTTTCTTGTCGTTCAGAATGATCCTTCGTCGACTGCGCCAAAATTTTAATATGTTATATTCGGTTCGTTCTTTATTTTTGTAAGTAATGAACAAGCACTTAAAACTATCACAAAACTAATATTAATAAACAAGAACTTATTACAGCTAGACTAAAAATCAAATGAACCAATGCCAAGCTGTGTAGCTTGCCTATATTACTTTGGTCTTTCGTCAGTCAACTGTTTCGAATGTTCGAGCAAACACTTGCAAATAAAATAAAAGAAGGAGTCTTTAGAAGCTTCGCTTCTAAAGAAGAACAATTTGAGTTCGTCGCCAGTCTTTTGTTTATAAAAAGTTGAAAATGTGAATATTGAGTACGGGATCATAACAATATATATGTATTTTTTTTTTTCGTTGTTTCTCCGAATAAAAATCGGTCGGTCATTAGTCAAAGCAGATGGGACAAGTGACACGTCACGTTTAAATCAATTTTTCCTCCTCCTTCGTGGCTAAAGAATATTTATTTATTTATTTATTTTTTTCTGCCCTTTTTTTAATACTGCTTCTTATCCCGAATGATTTTGTGACGTCATTGACATTTATTTATTTTTTTTTAAACGTATAAAATGTTTGTTGTTGTTGTTGTTGTTGTTGTCGTCGTCGTCACTCTCACGTTCTTTCTTCCACGTTTTTTTTTTCTTTTTAAATTTATAATTAATATCAAATTCGTGACGTATATGTGATTTAAACAAACTTTTTTTTTTTTTTTTTTTACAAAAAATCGTAAATGAAAATTTAGTTTTTGTGAGAGAGTGTTTTGAAATATAAATAAATTACATTTGTTTGTTATAATCGGGTAAAATTTACCCGAAAACAAACAAAACAAACAAAACCAAAAAAAAATTGAAAATACGTAATTCAAAGTTTTATTTTAACGTTTGGAATGACGAATGAAAATAGAAAAGGTTAATTAAAAACCTTTTTCTTAAGGTTAAAAAGTTTTTTTTTTGCGTGTGTGTGTGTGTGAATGTGTTTGGTTCGCTTCCATCGTCGACTTTGAATTTAAAAGTGTCTCCCCCTCCCCTCCTTTTTCGTATTTGTTATAAATATATATTGATTCGAGTAAGTCGAGTGTGAATCTCTAAGGATTGACCTTACGTAAAAAAGGTTTTTAACTTTACGTTGTCTTGTCGGTTGTGACCTTATTTTTGGAAAAAAAGGTTTACGGGGATGTTATCAAGGGCAAATGATAATAATAATAATAAGTACTTACCTGTCGATGGATATTGCCATGAGTGTGAAAACGCTCGCGCAAATCGTTATGACGGCAACGAATGGATTTATCTTACAATATAAATATCCGAAAGGCCAATCGGAATTCAACATGTACGTGTAATTAAATGTAACGTTGAGAGTCGACACCATCGTGTCAGCAATCGATAAATTAACGAGAAAATAATTCGTGACCGTTCTCATTCTTTTATTCGTTAAAACGATGTAAATAATTATCAAGTTTCCGCCCGTGGAAACGATTATCATTACGGCGAAGAGTATCGACCATATCAATTGTCGCCACCATGGAAGTATGAATTTATCCCAACTTCATCGTCCGTTCCGTTGA